CATTTCGGCCAGTAGAAACACTCCCCTCTGTTGGGTGGGATCATGCAGTACCGATTTCAGCCCTTTCAGCACACCCTGGCCAGGAAGTGAATGAACAGTTACCAAATCAGCCCAGTTGGATATTTTGAATAAACCGCTGTCATACTGCAGAGCAACAGTATTTCCAATATCAGCGAACTTACGATCTTCCATAATCATGAAATTGTGCTTCTTGGCCAGTGATTGTAACGATTTCATAAAGTTTTCGTTGTAGTCCTCGACAATGTCCACATGCGTTTTCAACAAACAGATGTATGGTCCTGTTTTCTCCACCAGATTCAATATCTCCTCAGACTTGGTCAGGTCTGCGGCTAAGCAAAGGGTACTTTTCTTACTGGCCATCAGTTTCATCAGCTCTTTGCCGACCGCGCACTTGGCCAAGTCTGCACGTGCTTCGAATGTCATTCCCGTACGGCTCAGCTCGTTGATTACCGTGGTGCCATTCTTAATGAACGAACCGTCGCTTTTGATTTGAGCACCCTCAATGTACTTTGCCACAGCTTTCACTGTCTTCTCCTCAATGCGACCAGCCTCGAGCAGCACAGCATGACAACGTGAACAGCGAGTGCATTCGGACGCCGTTTTCTTCTGTGTTCTGAGAACCGCCCTGTTCACGATCAACCACCACGATTGCGTCCGTGACGACGAGACCTGGAATAGAACATAGTTAGGATAAGTGTGCCATCTAAGAATCTACGGTATAACCTGCCTGTCCCCGCTATTTTGTGAGTCGTGTGACTCTGTGTCACTAAGTAACGTCATGCCATGGAAAGTTACCTCACACGACGTGAATTTTGTCATCTATCTACTGATAGAGAGTTACACGACTCGCAGAATAGGGGACAGTATCACAGCCATCTACATTAACTACTATAACATATCCTACGGTTATACATATCTGAAAACATTCATACTACACCGTCAAATTTAACTCTTCCCCGCCCAGTGTTCTGGCATTATACATTTTAAAAACCAGTATCTGTGGAGTGTTTTGAGATATTGGCCTAGAATTTCCTTTCCGATAATAGAAGAGCTAGTACAGACTAGGTTGCAATAGTTTTACAAACATAGGTTGTAGTTTCAGAAAGTCATAGGGTAAATTATGGCTTCGGCACCCATTGACTGTTTTCGGCAACCGAAATTGAAACGTGAATTTCACTGTATTTTCCCATCAAAACTCTTCGCTGAATGTATTAAGCCGATTCCTTACCTTTTCAGCTTCAATCTGATTACATTTTTACGACTGTGCAATCCTGTTATGCCATATTTTACTTTAAATTAAATATACACACTACAAAATACGGCTGATTTCGAGTTGCCGATAATAGAACAGCTGGTTAACACGCAGTTCAAATGGAAAGGGTGCCGAAGAAAAAGAGACTGCCGACAATAGTCACACTCACCTGAGAAGTTTGGAGCGTTGTAAAAACATGTTCAACCCGTTTTGATCAGTTCTATCGATTGGAATTGGTAGAACAGCAAGCAGCAGATAAATGTCAACAAACAAACCTGTCATGTATGTGTGTGACGCTGAGAAATCGCTAATAGAAGATCGGACGCTGCTTAGATTGACGAGAATACGTAAATTCCCCTATAACACAATGTCAAAAAAGCATGGTGCTCCAGATTAACAATAGAAATAAAAGCGCTGCCTTAGTATGCGGTCACGTGAAGATAAATTCCAAAATTGTACAAACGGAGCCCCGAAGCATGCATTTTGTATTTGGTGTACGGATTTCGATACATTTCTTGGAAGTACGAATTTTGGTCCCGAATGCCAGCCTGGATTTGCGAAGAAACGTTCGACAATGACCAACCTGATGGCTTACGTTTCTTCCTTGGTCCTTGGTCGCACTTGTTGTTTATTTATTGATTTGATAAGGCTCAATCGAATTAATTTTACAGAGCCGTTGATTCTTGGTCAATATATCTTAAAACTATAGTCTTAAAACTGAGAGCTTTCGATGCCTGTACCATTTTTGCATTAGTACAATTGTGTGGCAAGTACAACCATACTCTGAGCCCAGGGAAGTCGGGAAATTTTTCAACCTGAAAAATGCCTAGACCGGACCGGGAATCGAACCCAGTTACCTCCAGCATGGTCTTGCTTTGTAGCTGCGTCTATACTGACTGAGCTTAGCGAGGCCTCTTTGTAGAATACAATATCGGTCTACAGCGCCAAGTATGAGTTTGACGTGGAATTCTTTCTATTTTTCTTAATTAAAAAAAAAATAGAAAAAAAAATTATGTGTACTTTCTATTTTTCTTAATTAAAAATTATGTGTACTGAAAACTTCTATGTATAACAAAGTATGCCTCTAAAACAACATTTTAGCATTGTTATGTTTGACATACAATATTTTGTATACGCAGAATAACCAGTTAAAATTTATTTAGAAATTCCCGGTTTTCCTGTTAAAATCACGCAAATACAAATAGTCGAAGGTGTTTGTGGGAAAATTATGTTTCGTAGCAAAACTATTGGAATCATTTTCTTTAAAGCAGAAATTTTAATTCAACTAAATGCGTCGCTTGATTTATTCAAAACCGATCCATAAGTCTTTATGATAATGTTTTGATTAATTATACGCGTTGTACAGTCATCCCACAATTATTAGTCAGCTAATAATAATTATAAATCAGTCTGTTAAGCATGGAAGTCAACTGGAAGTGACAGTCAACTCTCATTTACCAGGTTCGGTACAGGGTTCGGTACCTTGCAGAACATAAAAAAAAAACAAAATTAAGAAAGTTTATATCATAGCCCAATAGTTTTTAAGTCGAAGTGACATTTGCCTCCGATCTTCGGGCGTGTACGAATAGGGAGGATGCAATTGCGGACTATTTTGATGCCAATTCAGAACCACCGCCCTCAACGACCACACAAAATGCTCTTCGTTATTTTTCCTTGGATTTGTTTTCCGCCGATCTTGTTTTCCGTGCTGAGCACCGATGCTACCCACACCTGGACCCTACCTATCGACCCATCAATTCATGAACCGGGGACCAACGGCTTTACTTGATCAGAGATGTTATGCCTCAGAACATCCCGGCGGCACCGACTGGGATTGAACCGAGGGGCGATCAACTTCATAAATCAGCTGAATTGTAAATACACACTTCGGAAAATACACAACAAATACGTAAAGGCGTACATGCTGAAAATAATATACCCCTGAGTACTGCGAACTCAGCCGATTTTATTTTTCAAGTAAGCTAGAAAACATCATGAAAATCTTCCGAAGTTTCAAATTGTTTTGCTGAAACAGTTCACGAAATTGTATATACATGCTGTCAAATGAACTCTTGGCTCCTCCTCCTCTGCTCCAGAAATAACGTATACATGGTAATGGGAGTGCACCTGCCCACAAAGCTCACATGACTCTTATAAAGTTTGATTAAATTTTTGTTTTAGCTAACCCAGTTTTGACATTGTTAATATCAAATAAAAACACTTTTTCGAGCATCACGCTCGATGATTTACATTATCCGCCTACTAAGGTTGATGTTTCGACAGTTTCATAATTAGAATTCTTAATTTGTTTTCAGTAGGTGGCAACACCTTTACTTGTGGTTCAAACAGTAACTATTTACGTGACTTCTGAGCTCTTTTGAATGTTTGGCTCCCGTTTGACAGTTTGACTCGGCTCCCAGATGACAAGCATTTTGAGTTAGTTCGCAGTACTCAGATATACCCTAATAAAAATACTCAAAAATACCTCGAAAATACTTTGCATACGAAAAATACATTTCATAATGAATTTAATACACATTAATACAAAAATACACAAAACCTAAAAATACATAAATACGAAAAAATACAAAATACACCATTTCAAGTCGGGTAGATGAATCGAAAATACTCAAGTTGACAGCCCCTCGCTCAACCCCCTACATAACCCTAGATACGCCAATGCCTAGATACGGTTTGATTGTCAAACTGATTTTATTAAGGCAAAACTCACCACCCAAAACAAATCCTGCAAGGTCTGATTTTTTTTTTAATATTAGGAAGAGATATAAAAAATCCAAGAAAACCAGTATTTTCTATAGATTCCTGAACAAAATTGCATTTTAATATAGGTTTAATAAATCTTCTATCTCATCATGAAAAAAAGTTAGACCCTAAACAAATCCAAAGGGTAAATTTAGTTTTTTAGTCCAACTTTGTACCATGATGAAATAAAAAAAAAATGTTTTACAGGTAAATAAATTTTCTTAAAGTAAACAAAAACCGGATTTTTAAAGTTTTTTATATCCCCTAATAAAATTGTATGGTTAATTTGCTTAACGACGTGTTCTGGGTATCATCCAAACCATTTGTGGAATAGTTCAATGATTTGGGTTATCGTTCGTTTATGGTTATTTTTTATTAGGGTCCTTTTCTCATATTTCTGGATAATCCGAGGAATAATCAAAACGTTTTTATTTCGGAGCGTTAGCTTTCCCTTAACATTGACTCTGATTTTTATGTGATGCTGCGTTCGCAACAACATTGTTTCAAAAACTGATTGCATTGCAGTTTGTCAACCAATGTGTTTAGGATCGACCCCCACTATGTAGCACTGGTCACATACTGCAACAGCATTTACTTGATTTAGCGTGGCGTGGTTGTTTCACGTAGTATAGGTCGGAGATCCGTACCTCTCCTTATGTCAATACTTTATCACAATTTCGTTCTGATTACATTAAGGTAGGTGGTATAATTCAAAATTATATTCTTTGATTTTGAGGTAGCAGTGATATTTTGCACCAGTGTAGATTTTTTATTTGAAACTGCCACGTGGTGCGGAAGAGGTGAACGGGATCTAAGAAATCAGAACGCAGCCATACATGGTCGCCATTTCCTCTTGCTGTTTTTTTGCGACGTGCAGAAACCATCAGTGAACACTTCGCATCGGGTCGGAACCTTGGACGTCGCCCGCTCGATCGTCATTTCTGAATTTGCTATCAACCGGAAAAGTTGTGCTTCGGTATCGGTGTTATTGCACAAAGGTGATACGAAAAATTTTAATATTCCAGCTAGCTAAGCCAACCAACGACCATAACATCCAAATTAAGGTAAGTCAAGAATGTCTGATACGAAATATAGGAAATAGGGCAAGGAATCCTTATTCCCGGATGGTTTTTTCGTCCGTATTATTTTTCGCGGATACTTGGATAACGTTAGTTCGCTGGAAAGGATAGCATTTCCGTTAAAGTATCCATACATGGCGAATAAGAACGACCCAATTTTAAGTGCAGGAGCTCAAAGATGAGTAAATTTACCTCATAGTTTTATGTGGAAAACCTCAAAAACCTGCCGGAACATTGACGAAAACTTGACTCAGTCTAGGAGTAGTACCAAAAGATGAAAAGTGATTTATGAGTTGACTAAACTCAAATCTGAAGCATCTATTGGAATACGGGTATAAAACCATCCGGGAATAAGGATACCCGACTGTATGGTGTTCAATCTTGATAAATACGTTATGAGTGGCCACCCATTCGGGAAATGCGGAAAAAAATCGGGTATCGAAAATGAACGTTTGTGTGATATACCTTATTCTGCGAGTCACGTGACTCTCTGTCACCGGTGAGGTGACAATTGTCACCTCGTGTGAGGTGACTCTCCATGTAAATCAAATAGTTTTAACCAGGTTTTAACCTTATGTGCTATGGTTTTTTTTGGAAGTGAACCTTACAAATAATGGTTTGTAAAGAACCAATGCCATTCTAAATTCTTTTTTTCTCCATACAATGTCGGAAAAGGGGGGGGGGGGGAGGTGATTGTCAAATCAAGCTGAACATTGCATTAGGTCCTAAGTAACATTGACAGATTCTCTTTGTCGACTTTCTCTTTGCATCCCCACGGCCATGTAAATACATTTCCAGGAATTTTCAGTACACATATCGATAAAAGAAGTTTTTATCTAGCATCTAATACGACAAACACATCAAGAAACGGTTCTGTGATCAAGTTATTAACGAAAGCGAAAGTCGACGAAGAGAATCGATCAATGTTACTTACAGGGCTGTTACAAGAGGCGCGGTTTTCGCGAGTTTCGCGGATTTGAACTTTCAGTCGCGAAAATCGCGGAAACATTAAATGGTGTCGCGAAAATCGCGAAGGAACTGATGTGCTGTCACAAAAATTGTGGAATTCATTGTAACCTTTCCGTCAAGGATAATTTTGCTGTCATCAATTTTATTGTTCATTTGGCTCTTGATTTTTTACCGGTTCAAACCAAACACCCTGCAAATAATCGAGAAATGATCTCAATCCCATAAGTCACACCGGATTTACATGGAAATTCCCTGAGGTCTGTCCAATGTGAGAAATTTTCCTTTTTGCAATATGAACATAGCATTTTTCGTTGTTAAATCATAAACGAATCGTATATATGCGAGTAATTGCCATGTATACCGGATATTCTAGGTTCTCCAAATCGCCCTGGAGTTCAGTTGATTTGTTCTACTATACCAACCAAGACTCCAATAATGTATGTAATATCGAAATATGTCCAAACAGATTCAAAGTGTCTATGTGGATTGCACCCGACCTTTTGCTACGTATACAAGATGTTATAGGTTCTGAAATCATTCTGGAGATCAGATTATTTTTCTACTAGATCACCCAAAACTAATGCAATATCTGTGGTATCGAAATATGCCCCAGGCAATGTCTATGTGGATCATGCCAACCTATTTTCGTGTATGGCAAATGTTCTAGGATTTCCAAACCGATATTTCATTACTACAGATATTATCCAAGTCTTTGTTGATCTAGTAAAACAAATCATCTGAACTGCAGGACGATTTGGAGAACCTAGATCATCTGGTATACGTGGAAATAATTAAACATTATCCATATAGATACTATGAATCTGTTTGGACACATTTCTATACTACAGACTTTATCCCAGTCATGGTTGATCTAGTAGCATAAATCATCTGAACCAGAACGATTTGGAGAACCTAAAACATCTTGTATACATGACAATAGTTCATGCGTTCATGCATGATCCACATAGACTCTGTGCATCTGTCTGGAAATATTTCGATATTAAAGACATTGTCCCAATCTCGGCTGATCTAGTAGATCAAATTATATGAACTCCAGGACGATTTGAAGAACCTTGAACATCTGGATTACTCGGAAATAGATCATCACAGAGGCACTTTGAATCTGATTGGACATTTTTCGATACTACAGACATTATTGCAGTCTTGGTTGATCAAGTAGAACAAGTCAACTGATGTCCGAACGATTTGGAAAACCTATAATTTCCGGTATACATAGTAATAAGACGTGTATGATCCACAAAGTCACATATATACGATTCGGTTATGATTTGACAACCAATAGTGCTAGGTACATATTAGAAAAAAAAAAAAAACATGAACATGTCTCACCATTGGGCAGAACCAAAGGAATATCAATTAAATTGTGAAAGTACTTCAAAGAACACTAAGTTGAGAGCAGGCAAAAATCTAATAAGCTATAAGCAATAAGCTTGAAATGCCATGTAGTAGTATACAAATGCTATTTTTAGTCGATGAAAACAGTTTTTTTTTTGTCGCGAATTAGTAATTGAAGTCGCGGATTTCTTTTGAGAAATCGCGGATTTCGTGGGTCAAATTTAGAAAATCTTGTAACAGCCCTGTACTTAGGACCTAATGCAATGTTCAGCTTGAAATACGAACAATCGTCGCCTACCTCGCATAACTCGTTCCAAACCATAAGAAACCTACAGGTATTTGTTTACGTTTGGAACCAATTTCATACCAGAATGATCAGTAGGCTGCTTTGACAGCACGTACCCCACCCCCTCGGTAGTTTTCAAAGAAATTTTGTTCGAGCCTCAACGTCTGTTCTCTGTGCCTCAACGTCTGATCTTTGTGCAGCTTAGCTTCATTTTCATAAAAAAAGATTTAAAATTGGTGCACTAGTTCCAAAGATATTGACATTTTAGTAATCGTACTTTTGTCCAAAATTCAAAAAATCAAAATTTTTGTATATCTCAAAAATGTGTCTACTTTAATTTTTTCTGACCACGGCATTGAATTCAGCGTAGGATTTTGCATTGGAAATGATCATCACCTTACCGAGTTCAAAAATGCTGTAAACTAGTGTTATTTGACAACCGTTATAACATGTTATAACTCTCCAGTCTGAACAAGGCATAAAGCATCGTCCATAAAACACTATCGCCATCTGTTGATCACACTGTAAAGGGCACTACGCTCGACAGATGGCGGTAGTGTTCAGGCGTCAGGCAGATGACTTGACGCGCCTCCAGTGGCTACACTACCAATTAACAATAATTTAAATCAACCGTTAAATGAATGAACGATCGACAATATGAAGTGTTATGTCTGTTTTTTCATGAAGCACCCTGCAAACAGCACTCTCAAGATTAGAGGATTACCGGGGTCGAACTGACTTACCCTAGTATTAACCAATCGAATGCGGTTTTATTTACTTCTTTATTTAAAATGCGGGAGTATTTCTTATTTCAAACATTGCAATCACCAGGTAACGTTGATACCTGGGTGAATAAATTATATTTTAAACGTTTTTCGTGTACCGTAATTTGTTTTGTTGTGTGTTTGTGGTTTTCATTACAGCAAATCTGCAGAAGTCGGAATGGAGTCCAAATCTAGCGGAGGCCTTATGCCGGATCATCGCGCCACGATCATCAGTCGCCGAGAGTTTCTGGTGAACAACGAGCTTATGTCGGATGTGGTATTCCTAGTAGGCAAAACCAAGCAGAAAATATACGCACACAAACAGCTGCTCGTTACTGCATCGGACTATTTTTACATCATGTTCGAAGGAGAATTCAAAGAGGCAAAGGCTGACGAAATAACATTGGGAGATATTGAATGGCCCATCCTGAAGGAGATTTTACGTCACATGTATTGCGGAAAAACCAATCTGAACATGGACAATGTTCACGAAATTTTCATTCACTCGAAGATGTACATGCTGTGGGAACTACTGAATGAAATATGCGATTTTTTGGTGCAAAATGTCACACCGGAAACTGCGTTGGAGATGCTAACTCGAAACCAATTCTATGAATTTCAAGCAGTCGGCGATAAAAGCATCGAGCCTATCCGGGACAACCCTTTGCATTATTTCGGTACTGATGACTTTGTTGGAATTGATTCGAAATCGCTTCAAGCCATCATGGAATCAACATATTTGAATTGTACCGGCGCTCAATTATTGAAAGTTTTGAAAAATTGGCAGGAAGCTAATCCATCGGAAAAAGTTGATTTATTGAAAGCTTGTATTGCACGCAATACAGACCGTTATCATTGCCATGAATTACGAGTTTATGGAGTCCGAAGCACATCTTCTTGTCACCAAAGTTTGAGGGTGTCATACACCTCATATAATAATGAATACAAAAGCATATTCCTGTATGGCATCAGAGTGTTTGCTAAAAGCAAAGGTATTATTCAAGTTTACATCGAAAGTTCATCTCCGGCAGTTCTTTGCAATAAAGAGTTCAATGTTGACGAGCTTGAACATAATGGGAAAGCACATTGCTTTTTTCCAAAAATCGAATTACTACCTGACATTACATACACAATTAAATTGTTGGGAGACGGACTAAACACATCGGTGTGTATCATGAATCCAGTCATTTCTGAGGTTGGTTGGCCCACATTTTCTCTAACCAATACCAATAAATTTTCGCAGATCGCAGATTTTTATTGTAATACTACGCCGTTTGTTTCAAAGAAACGGCGATTTGGAGATGAGGGCCCATCTGCTTAACAGATAACCGTACGGCGATCATACTGAAAATCTGCAATCCTCTGCAAACTATATTGGGAAATATTTCAAAACCCTTGAACGAATTGCTTGTAAACTTAAAATATAGTAATTGAGAACAGTTGCTTCAAGAAAAAAATAATATTTCTAATCGAAAGTGTGTGCAACTGAGATTTTCAAATTGAATTAGTTAAGTTTTTGAAAAAATATAAAATTTGTTTACATAGAACGATAGTTTTTGGCTGATTTTCAGTTTTATTTTTGTTAAATTTCATCGATACATTTTGAATCATTTGTTTGTAATAAATATTTGTTTCTAAACATTTCTTTGTGAGTTTTGATTATTTCGAAATATGTACCCAATAAATCTTAACGACATCACATCATATACTTGGTTCGGAAATTCTTTATAGGAAAATCGGGCAGGAAGAAGGCTTGACCAAAAAAATAAAATGACAACATTTGCAATGGATTTCTATTTTAAAATATTTTATTACACACTTGGGTAACACAATTTAGACAATATTGGGACTATAATAGGGAATGATTCGGGAATGACTAAATAGTGGTTAACGGTGTTCAATCAGGTAGCTGTTACTTTTCTAATTAGGTGTCTCAAGGTAATACTCGTTGTGGAATTGGGTGTGATTGCTGCAACAGATGCACTTGATTAATGATTTATTCGCTCATTCCGACACGTTCACAGTATGCCGCCCAAAGCCGTTTCCGGTAAGTTTTGGCCGCATCTTCCTGATTCTTAGCATTCAAGATACCTCTTCCAACAACGCAAATGTCGGCACCCTTCTCCTTGACGACGTGCTCGGGACTATCATATTTCTGGCCCAACCCGTCGGCACCCTCCTCGAGCTTTACGCCGGGAGTCAACTGAAGCAGTCCAGGGGAAGCGACTAAATCCGAGCTCTGACACACGATGCCGGCGACGAAGTCCGTGTCCATCTCCGTGGCTATTTTCATCGTTGCGGCACTGTACTGAGGAGTGGCTAGATTGCCTTGGGAACTCATTTCGGCCAGTAGAAACACTCCCCTCTGTTGGGTGGGATCATGCAGTACCGATTTCAGCCCTTTCAGCACACCCTGGCCAGGAAGTGAATGAACAGTTACCAAATCAGCCCAGTTGGATATTTTGAATAAACCGCTGTCATACTGCAGAGCAACAGTATTTCCAATATCAGCGAACTTACGATCTTCCATAATCATGAAATTGTGCTTCTTGGCCAGTGATTGCAACGATTTCACAAAGTTTTCGTTGTAGTCCTCGACAATGTCTACATGCGTTTTCAACAAACAGATGTATGGTCCAGTTTTCTCCACCAGATTCAATATCTCCTCAGACTTGGTCAGGTCTGCGGCTAAGCAAAGGGTACTTTTCTTACTGGCCATCAGTTTCATCAGCTCTTTGCCGACCGGGCACTTGGCCAAGTCTGCACGTGCTTCGAATGTCATTCCCGTACGGCTCAGCTCGTTGATTACCGTGGTGCCATTCTTAATGAACGAACCGTCGCTTTTGATTTGAGCACCCTCAATGTACTTTGCCACAGCTTTCACTGTCTTCTCCTCAATGCGACCAGCCTCGAGCAGCACGTTCAACAGATATGACAACGTGAACAGCGAGTGCATTCGGACGCCGTTTTCTTCTGTGTTCTGAGAACCGCCCTGTTCACGATCAACCACCACGATTGCGTCCGTGACGACGAGACCTGGAATAGAACATAGTTAGGATAAGTGTGCCATCTAAGAATCTACGGTATAACCTGCCTGTCCCCGCTATTTTGTGAGTCGTGTGACTCTGTGTCACTAAGTAACGTCATGCCATGGAAAGTTACCTCACACGACGTGAATTTTGTCATCTATCTACTGATAGAGAGTTACACGACTCGCAGAATAGGGGACAATATCACAGCCATCTACATTAACTATAACATATCCTACGGTTATACATATCTGAAAACATTCATACTACACCGTCAAATTTAACTCTTCCCCGCCCAGTGTTCTGGCATTATACATTTTAAAAACCAGTATCTGTGGAGTGTTTTGAGATATTGGCCTAGAATTTCCTTTCCGATAATAGAAGAGCTAGTACAGACTAGTTTGCAATAGTTTTACAAACATAGGTTGCAGTTTCAGAAAGTCATATAACACAATGCCAAAAAAGCATGGTGCTCCAGAGTAACAATAGAAATAAAAGCGCTGCCTTAGTATGCGGTCACGTGAAGATAAATTCCGAAATTGTACAAACGGAGGCCCGAAGCATGCATTTTGTATTTGGTGTACGGATTTCGATACATTTCTTGGAAGTACGAATTTTGGTCCCGAATGCCAGCCTGGATTTGCGAAGAAACGTTCGACAATGACCAACCTGATGGCTTACGTTTCTTCCTTGGTCCTTGGTCGCACTTGTTGTTTATTTATTGATTTGATAAGGCTCAATCGAATTAATTTTACAGAGCCGTGGATTCTTGGTCACTATACAATATATCTTAAAACTATAGTCTTAAAACTGAGAGTTTTCGATGCCTGTACCATTTTTGCATTAGTACAATTGTGTGGCAAGTACAACCATACTCTGAGCCCAGGGAAGTCGGGAAATTTTTCAACCTGAAAAATGGCTAGACCGGACCGGGAATCGAACCCAGTTACCTCCAGCATGGTCTTGCTTTGTAGCTGCGTCTATACTGACTGAGCTTAGCGAGGCCTCTTTGTAGAATACAATATCGGTCTACAGCGCCAAGTATGAGTTTGACGTGGAATTATTTCTATTTTTCTTAATTAAAAAAAATAGAAAAATAAATTATGTGTACTTTCTATTTTTCTTAATTAAAAATTATGTGTACTGAAAACTTCTATGTATAACAAAGTATGCCTCTAAAACAACATTTTAGCATTGTTATGTTTGACATACAATATTTTGTATACGCAGAATAACCAGTTAAAATTTATTTAGAAATTCCCGGTTTTCCTGTTAAAATCACGCAAATACAAATAGTCGAAGGTGTTTGTGGGAAAATTATGTTTCGTAGCAAAACTATTGGAATCATTTTCTTTAAAGCAGAAATTTTAATTTAACTAAATGCGTCGCTTGATTTATTCAAAACCGATCCATAAGTCTTTATGATAATGTTTTGATTAATTATACGCGTTGTACAGTCATCCCACAATTATTAGTCAGCTAATAATAATAAATTATAAATCAGTCTGTTAAGCATGGAAGTCAACTGGAAGTGACAGTCAACTCTCATTTACCAGGTTCGGTACCTTGCAGAACATAAAAAAAAAACAAAATTAAGAAAGTTTATATCATAGCCCAATAATTTTATGGTCTATTTAGCTATGATTTTGATATTGGAAATTACACTGAAGTCTTTTTACACGGTTTTTTGCGATTAACACGGTACGTTTTTAACGATTTCTCGACAACGATACAACCTATCGACTTGATTCCTATCACATAAACCGCTTTAAGCTATAGGTAATCGAATGGCATACTTTAAAAAAAAATCACAATTTTTGGTTTAAATACAGAAATTTTAAAAATATGTCTATATGGACCATAGTATGCTATAATTACAAATGGCATCAAAATCCGATTTTTTAAAAAATATTTAAGCATGTGAAAAATCAAAATCTCGTAGGTTTTTTCACACGGTTTTACGTATGTAGTAGGTAGAATTATTAAGAGTGAGAGATTAAATTAAGAAATTGTTTATGAAATCTTGATGATGAGATGAAATAAATGAAATAAATGAGATCTAGGGAAAATTAAAGAAAACTTTTAAGCACTCCGTAGTCTGTACTAACACCGCCGACAAATCGACATGAATGACCATAGCAAAAACAATAAAATCTCTGTCCAAAGCACACTACGGACATCTGGCCACATCTGGCTCCGTGTTTGCGGGAAATGTTTAGCTAAGCCATAAACCCGCATGCAAAATTTATGAACTAGTTCGTTTCTGATCTATTCTGGACAAATGATTTTTATTTAGATAAAATAATTTTATGGTTTTGACAGTTCGGATCACTGCACATTTAAATCGGCCGTTTACGATTTTCGGGCAGAAGTCAGAATTAAGTGCCATGTCGGTTTGTCGGTTTTTTTTTTCGTTAAGGGAACATGCATAAATGACGTAGCATTTGAGGGGAGAGGTGGGGGTTTCAGAATTTGTGACCGGCCATGTATTGGATATAGCCAAATACGCTACGAGGGGGGGAGGAGGGGTCTAAAATTGATCAAAAATATGCTACGTCATTTATGGATGCTCCCTAATTTGTTTTCCGTGCTGAGCACCAATGGTACCGACGCCAGGGAGGCAGCTCCCACACCTGGACCCTACCTATCGACCCATCAACTCATGAACTGGGGACCAACGGCTTTACTTCCCTTCCGAAGGAAGGCGTGATCATAGACGTTATGCCTCAAAACATCCCGGTGACGCCGACTGGGATTGAAGGCCTGGGGTGAGAGAGTCGGTTTGTGCTAACACATCTAAATCAAAAAATGGGTTTCAAGCAAGGTTTCAAGAAACTTTCTATGATTCTGAGGAATTGACATTTGTTAATTGATTTTGTTTTCGAGATTTGTGACTTATAAACATTTTCGTGATCCTGCATTTTTAAAAACAAAAAAAAACGTAATGGTACTTTTTTCAACAATTTGGGATTGAGAAACATACTCAAAATGAGGGATTTAAAAAATCCATGCTCATAAATTTTAAAAATACAAAAATCATTATATTAATGGCCATAGACAATATAAAGACTATGGGACTTGGAGGAATTTTTGGGATTCAAATAATTTAAATAATATTCAATAGAATTCTGTTGTGTTGTTTTCTAAAAAATGCTAAGGAGGATTCCTACATACACATTTAGAAAAATTGTAAAGAGTTCTGACAAGAATTCCAACAAAATTCTGATATGAAGTCCTAAGAAATTATGGGACTAATTTCAATGGATTCAAGGGAGGGAGAAAGGTTAAGTTCTGAATTGAATTTCTATGTTATTCTAAGAATAATTCAACGGGGGTTGTGAGGAGAAATTCAAGGAAAATCTGAGAATTGTATGGGGATCTTGAGGAGAACAGAAGGTTAATTTTAATAAGAAGCCTAAGAGAATTCTTATGAGCATTCAAGATAACTAGATGGGAACAGAAGGAAACAGATTCAATGGGATTCCGAGAAAAATACCAGAGGAATCGTATTCTGAGACGTAGTTTAAAAAATGGAGGAAATTTAAAAAGAAATTCTTAAAGAAATCCTAAGGAGTGAGTTGTTTCGCACATGCTGCTTGTCATCAAAAAGAAAGAAGAAGATTATATCATTATTGCTTTCCACTTCTGACATAGCGTTATCATTCGGTTCGTTGATCGCTTGTCATTTTGTCATTTGGAGATATTTTTGATTCCTTGAGGATGATGTAAATTACGAAAACTCAACTTGCAATAATATTGTTGGATAACAACAAAAAAACGAATAGCTGATGGAAACTACACCGACAAACCGACATGAAACTTAAACTTAACTCTTGATCGAGAATCCATAACGGCGGATTCAAATGTGCAGATGGAATTTGTCAAAACCATCAAAACTTGTTATCTAGATAAACATAATTTGCCCGGAATAGATTAGACACGAACCAACTCATGCGTGTTGGTGGCTAGGTTACACATTTTTCGCGAACACGGCGGCAGATGTCAGTTTTGTGCTTTGATCAGAAATTTTATGGTACTTGGTATGGTCATTAGAGTGATGCAAAATCTGAAATTTTCGCTCCACAATACTTAAACGATTCCAAATCGGATCTTGACTAACCTCTAAAAATTTGAACCCATTTGGTAAGAAACTAAGATGGCACAAACCATTTAAAGTTTGTATGGGAATTACTATGGGAAAACCAAGATTTTTGTTCATGTCTATCTAATAATTCCCTTTGGTCCCTTTGGTTTGTTTTTTTCCGTCGATCTTGTTTTCCGTGCTGAGCACCAATGCTACCGACGTGCCAGGAAGACAGCTCCCGCACCTGGACCCTACCTATCGACCCATCAACTCATGAACCGGGGACCAACGGCTTTACTTCCCATCCGAAGGAAGGCGTGATCAGAGATGTTATGCCTCAGAACATCCCGGCGGCGCCGACTGGGATTGAACCCAATCCTGCTGGGGTGAGAGGTAATCACGCTTACCACTACACCACCGGCGCCGTTATCTAATAATTCACAAAGCATGTTTTATCGAGGGGACCGACTCTATGTAAGATGCAGGAATTTTTTTGCTTTGCTGTTGTGAGATGCACTTGCGCTTAATAGATAGATAGATGATTTTGAAGATTTCCTGCAAAAAGGTGCAGAGCGATGCGAGTAGATGGGTTTAGATGCAAGAGATGAAAAAAGATTTTTCGTAGATTGATTCGCTAGTGTAAGATTTTTCGACCATTTAAAATTGAGATTTAGATGCTCAACAAATCTCACACTAGAGGGATTCCATCCAGAATGAGCTGAAAAACCTGAAATCGTGCTCGACCATCTTCGATTTGGATGATACTTTGCCCATATTTTCAGTATGATAGACCAAGTATTTTCCGCAGGAGAGGAAACCCTTTTGACTCAAGGGTAATTTTTGAAAAGGGCCTATGTGTTTTTGCACACATACTTAAAAAAAAATGTAGTTCGAAAACAGTTGGTTGTAGAAAAAAATTTCCT